CTGCCTAAGCAGCTCCACCCAGTCGGGGAGCTCAGCGTCGTCGACAAACTCTGTACGCCAAGCATCGCCCAGACGGGCGAAGCAGTGGGACTCTGTGTGACCACGTGTCCCGCAAGGCTGACCAGTCCGGACACCTGTGCGAATGACGTACGGGCAGCGAGCAGTACTCAGTGACCCTCTACTCTGAGCGTACCACTCACGAAGCTGCTGGGGCGAAAGAGCCCCGCGTAGACGACGCGGCTGCTGCACCGGGCCACTACAAGAAACTCCCGAACTACCCACTCCAGGACGACTCCCACTACTGCCACCCCGACAACCCCAACTGGCGTACCACTCACGAAGCTGCTGGGGCGTGAGGGGCACACGCGGACGGCCCTGGAGCTGCATCTGGCCACGCCAGGAGCAGCAGTAGAAGCAGTAGCAGCACGCAGTAACAGCAGTAGCAGCACGGGTAGGGCAGTGCTCACCAGTGGTGGGAAGGGCAGGCGTACGAGCGAGGCGACCGTCACAGCGGCCGCTCCAGGGGCGGCTGCTCCAGGGGCGGCTGCTCCAGGGGCCAGGGGCGGCTCTTGCAGTGGCAGCTGCCCCAGGGGCGGCTGCTCCAGTGGCCAGGGGCGGCTGCTGCAGGGGCGACTGCTCCAGGGGCGAGGGGCGGCTCCTGCAGTGGTGGCTGCTCCAGTGGCCAGGGGCGGCTGCTGCAGGGGCGGCTGCTCCAGTGGCCAGGGGCGGCTGCTGCAGGGGCGGCTGCTCCAGGGGCCAGGGGCGGCTGCTCCAGAGGCCAGGCGCGGGTTAGGTCAGGGCGACTCAGCGGGCAGGGGCGACGCGCGGGCAGGGGCGACGTGGCGGGCAGGGCGACGCGGCGGGCAGGGCGACGCGGCGGGCAGGGGCGACGCCGTGGGCAGGGCGACGCGGCGGACAGGTGGCGACGCCGCGGGCAGGGCGACGCGGCGAGCAGGGGCGACGCCGCGGGCAGGGGCGACGCGGCGGGCAGAGCGACGCGGCGGGCAGGGGCGACGCCGCGGGCAGGGCGACGCGGCGGGCAGACGGCGACGCCGCGGGCAGGTGGTACGCGGCGGGCAGAGCGACGCGGCGGGCAGGGGCGACGCCGCGGGCAGGGCAACGCGGCGGGCAGGTGACGACGCCACGGGCATGTGGTGACGCCGCGTGCAGGGCGACGCGGCGGGCAGGTGGCGACGTCGCAGGCAGGTGGCGACGCCGCGGACAGGTGGCGACGCCGCGGGCAGGCGGCGACGCCGTGGGCAGGGCGACGTGGCGGGCGGCGAGAGCCTGCAGGGGCGGCGCGCGGTCGGGCAGAGGCTGCGCGGCGGGTCTGCAGGGGCGGCTCTCGGGCCTGACGGGCCTGCAGAGGCGGCTCGGGGGCCTGACGGGTCTGCAGAGGCGGCTCTCGGGCCTGACGGGCCTGCAGAGGTGGCTCGGGGGCCTGACGGGTCTGCAGGGGCGGCTCTCGGGCCTGACGGGCCTGCAGAGGCGGCTCGGGGGCCTGACGGGTCTGCAGAGGCGGCTCGGGGGCCTGACGGACCTGCAGGGGCGGCTCGAGGGCCGTACTAGCTTGCAGGAGGCAGCGCGAGGGCTGCAGGACGGCACGCGGGCAGACCGAAGGGCGGGGCGCGCGAGGGCGCACTAGCAGAAAAAAGAAAAGGGGCGCACGAGGGCGCACGAGCAGAGAAAGGCGCACGAGGGCGCACGTAAGGTAGGGCGCACGAGGGCGCTTCTAGCGGAATAGTGGGCCCGTAGGAGAAAGCGGTCCTAGGTAGCAACCTAGGCTCGTGATACCATGTTAGAATGAACAAGTGTGTGTGAACTAACAAGATTGGGAGTACAAGTAGGAAACCCTAGAATGTTGTACCCCCTAAGGCTAAACCCACTATAGCCAACACAATTTAAACATATAATGTTTGACAAGTCTACGGTCTCCGCCATGCGCATCATGAGTGGCACGACACACTGAGGACGACATTTGCGGCTCTTGGGTTTGCTCCTTCGACCGCTGACCCGTCGCTGTTTCTGCGCAACGACATTTCGCTGCTGCCATTCTACATCCTCGTGTACGTCGACGACTTGGTTTTTGCCGCTGCTAACACTGAGGCACTGACTCTAGTGAAGTCAGAGCTGCAGAAGAGACACACGTGCACAGACTTAGGTGAGCTGCGCAACTATCTTGGCTTGCAGATCACCCGGGACAGAGCACGCCGCACCATCACCCTGACTAAGTCACACATGGTGTAGCAGGTCCTTCAGCACTTCGGCTTCACTTGGTCCTCGCCACAGTCCACTCCTCTGCCTACCGGTCACTCGCTCTCAGCTCCACCTTCGGACGAGTCCTTAGAGCCAAGTGGCATGTATCCAGAGCTTATGGACTGCCTCATGTACGTGATGACATGCACTCGACCTGACATTGCTTACCCTCTCAGCATCCTGGCACGCTACGTTGTGCCCGGGAGACACCGACCAGAGCACCGGGAAGCCGCTAAGAGGGTGTTACGCTACTTGTGCAGTACGTCGAGCATGGGGCTCGTGCTTGGAGGACGGAGTCGAGTTGTTCTCTCTGGCCACGCAGACACGTCTTGGGTTGGCGACTTGGCTACGCAGCGGTCGTCATAGGGTTACACTTTCAGCCTTGGCTCCAGTTCTATTTCTTGGCGGTCTACCCGCTTGTCTTCTGTTCTCAGTTCCAGTTGTGAGGCTGAGATCTACGCAGGGGCCATGGCTGCACAGGAGTTACGCTGGCTCACCTACCTACTGACCGATTTGGGAGAGCGGCCTAGTTCTCCTCCAGTTCTGTACGTAGACAACAAGGCCATGATTGCCTAATGTCAGGAGCACAGACTGGAGCACAGGACGAAACACATCGCTCTGCGTTACTTTCTTGCTTGAGAGTTGCAGCAGCGTGGTCAGCTTCGTCTTGCTTACGTGGCCACTCGGGCCAACACTGCTGATATATTCACCAAGGCACTTGAGCCTCGTGATCATCAGCGTTTCTGTACTGTTTTTGGCATTGTGCCTACTTTCCCTCACTTGCTCACTTCTTGACTTTGCTTGTACTGTGATCTATATACTTGTACCTGCATGCTTACACTTGCTAGATTGTGATCACTGTACTGCTTGTTCCCATTTATATAACTATGCATGTTAACTGGCCTTGTGGCCATTTGCTTGTGCTCAGAGTGTGTGGTGACTTCATGATCCACCTTGAGCTTGTTTTGCTTTTCTTGACTGATCTTGTGACCCCTTGTTCTCCCCCACTTTGCCTATGGGGGTGTGTCAAACTATCATGCTATGTCTGCTGTATAGGCTGTAGTGGGGTAGCCTATATGGGGTACAACGCAATTAGGGTCATACTTGTATGAACTTTCTGCTCAATGCATTCATTCCTGCTCGTTAGTTTCTGACAAATATTTATTTTTTGGCATGATTGCTTACTTCTAGTGCGATCAATATTCACTGCAAGACGAGATAATTTCTATTTAAATGATTCAATTATTCCAATGTGGGATGATTGTAAAACTAAACCCGAAACACCTTGTCGCAATGAGTGTTGATCCGAAGGGGGTTTATATTTTTTTGCCCCGGTGTACAATATAATTTTATAAAGAGAAGCATTGTTCCGAAAAAGCACTTAAATGTTTATTGAATGTTGACAACTTGTTTCAGCACAGCTACTCGTGCGTAAATTACCCGAGTCTCTGAAAGTGTGCCAGAACGTGGTGCATCAGGATTCGTCGATTTAGTTTGGCGCGAACGGGAAGACCCAAAATCAGGCTCATTACGCGAGCGGGAAAACCAGCGAGTTCCATAGGGCCAACATCATAAACATGCAAATTAGTCTGGTAACCCTATCCAATGGTATGCAAAACCGTCGATACCCTAGTTCTGCTGCGCAAGTTTGTCTGGTAGCGCCACTCAAAACACTGTGTAACAGCTGACGCAGCACAAAAAAAGAAGAAATATGAGATATAATCGGTTGCGTTTTCGATTTCGTATCTTCGTGGTTCTTACCGCGCCTCGTTTGGCGCCTAACAAATATTCCTCCGGGCTACTATTTTCCGCTATATGTGCACGATACATTTACGAAAAATCCATTGGAATGAAATAAAACGGGGTCGATTTTGTAACAATATATTGCACCCAATATATTGCTACCGGGAAGTGTTAGGGCAGGGCTGAAAAACAATAAAACCCCTAGGGACCTGGACGCATTTCCGGGAGGGATCAACCCTAAACACGGGAAAGGACATTGTTTTTAGGGTTGATGCCTCCCTGACGTATCCCGTTCCGATTGGGTTTTATTTTTTTCTTGGCCCGAAGAAATCACGTCTTAGTGCGAAGGCAAGCGCGGTAAGGATCAGTGTGTGAATTAAAAACAAACGTGTTATTAGGGCAGAATGTCAATACCTCCAAAACTGAGGTAAGACGGTTTTGAATACCATTGGATAGGGTTACCAGACTAATTTGCATGTCTATGATGTTGGCCCAGTTCCATATGTTCGTTATGCTGAAATCACTGACTGCTGTGTGACGCCTGCCGGCTTTCAAGTGGTGAAGGGCATCCCGCTGCGCCTAAAGTTATATGCTGCGAGAATTTTGATAGAGCCGGCTAGCAACAAGCCTCGATGAGTGAGTGTTCCGGCCGGCCACCGGCGCGCGAACTCTCCGCGTGCGCGACTGCAGGAAAGCTAACAGTGGCGAATGACCTAGTCTTGCTATGAGTGACGCGCGTGTCGCGGGAATCAAGCCGGGTTTCAATTATGGCTTCTATGTTTTTCCCAGCGAGACTAGCTACCAGTGGCTCCGTAGATCGACTATTACGCTCATTCGCACTGCTGGTCATCCTCTCGTGCCTCCTTCGAGTCTGCTACCATCAACTCATCGCACCGTCATCGTCCCGCGACGCTCCTTACACCTTCCACCGTGACAGAACCGTCGCAGTCCGCTATCGCGCCTCTACTAGTCTTCCTCTCAAGAACCTGACCGACTCATGCATGACGGAAATGAGAAACTCCCACGCCGCCCACTCCTCCCCGCCCAACGGCCCCATGGGCCGTGACGGCGCCGCGCCGCTGACTCCGCGGCAGGAGCGCGCCGCAGCGGCGTGCAGAGCGGAGCTGCGGAATGTGCTGCATGAATGGGCGGCGGAAGCGAGGCGGAGAGAGGCCGAGGCGGCGGACTACCAGGCCGCGGTGCCGCTGGTACTGCCGAGCCCCCACGCTCGGCTCACACGGGAACCTCACAGGCCCGCTAACCCCGCTGATAGCCCTGATAGTCGGCCTACAACGGACGATAGTACCACTACCGGCGCCAATGGCGCATGTGATCCTGTTCCTGGTGGCGGTCCTGCTGGTGCTGCCAGTGGCGGCGGTGGTGCTGCTGCTACCGCCGCCGGCCCGGCAGGCTCCGCCGCGCTGCTGTGCTCCGTGGGCTGGCGGCGGGCGGCGATGGCGCGAGCAGCAGCGAGCGCGTACGTGCGGAGGGCGGTGAAGCGGAACGCGACGTCGCTGGCGCGGATAGAAGAGGGTGTGGATGCTGTGTGCCGCGGGGTGCGCGAGATAGAGGCCCGGCTGAGCGGCGAGTGCAGCGACATGGGACATGGGGGCGACTAGGGCGGGACGGCAGCAGAAGAAGGAGAGGGAGAATCAGGAGCAGAGGCAGGGGCAATAGGAGAAGCAGGATCAAGGACAGGAGCAGGAGCAGGAGCAGGGGCAGGAGCAGGAGCAGGGGCAGGAGCAAGAGCGGGGCAAGCAGGAGCAAGAGCAGGGCAAGCAGAAGCAGGAGGGGAGGGAGCAGCAGCAGCACAGTGCAGCACGTGGCCTGAGGCGTGCTGGCCGGTGCCTCACATGCCCTTCTCCGATGCCATGGTGCCCCCTTTTTCCTTCCCCATCCTCCTCCCTCTTTCCTCCCCCCCTCCTGCCCTCCTCCGCTCTTTCTCGTCGTAACCGCCTCTTCTTCTTCTGCCTTCAGTCCACGAGAACCCGCAAGCTTCCCCACGTTGTCCACTCTAGCAAGCAGCTCTGTGTTCCTCCTTCCCTTCCCCTCCCCATTCATCTTTTCCATTCCACTCGCCCTCCATTCCATCCTCCCCGGTGCACCAGGGCGCAGAAGTACTGCTGAGAGTTCTATTATATCCCCGAGCATTGAGGTGATCTTTGCGGCGCCTCAAAAATCAGCCCGGTGCATCAGGGTGCAGAAGTACTGCTGAGAATCCTGTCATATCCCCCGCGCACCTGCCCCAGTTTCCATTTGAATAATCAGCTCTCACCACTCCCTTTCACCCCTCTTCCCCCCCGTGCCCTCTTCTCCCCTCCCACCACCCCAGGTCCACCAGGGCGCACGAACGAGCACTACTGAGAAGTCTAATCCCTCCCCCACCTGCCCCATTTGCCACTGCCTGCATTCCACCCACCCCCCCCCTCCAGACCACCAGGAGGAGCAGGTTCCTCGTATTCGCCTGCTCCAGGCCACCAGGAGCAGCTCTTTTTTGTTTAGGCGCCTCAAAAGTCACTGCCTGCATCCCATCCAACCTCCCCCCCAGGCCACGAGGGCGCGCAGGTTCCTCGTATTCGCCTGCTCCAGGCCACCAGGAGCAGCTCTTTTTTGTTTAGGCGCCTCAAAAGTCACTGCCTGCATCCCATCCAACCTCCCCCCCAGGCCACGAGGGCGCGCAGGTTCCTCGTGTTCGCCTACTCCAGGCCACCAGGAGCAGCTCTTTTTTGTTTAGGCGCCTCAAAAGTCACTGCCTGCATCCCATCCAACCTCCCCCCCAGGCCACGAGGGCACGCAGGTTCCTCGTATTCGCCTGCTCCAGGCCACCAGGAGCAGCTCTTTTTTGTTTAGGCGCCTCAAAAGTCACTGCCTGCATCCCATCCAACCTCCCCCCCAGGCCACGAGGGCGCGCAGGTTCCTCGTATTCGCCTGCTCCAGGCCACCAGGAGCAGCTCTTTTTTGTTTAGGCGCCTCAAAAGTCACTGCCTGCATCCCATCCAACCTCCCCCCCAGGCCACGAGAGCGCGCAGGTTCCTCGTGTTCGCCTACTCCAGGCCACCAGGAGCAGCTCTTTTTTGTTTAGGCGCCTCAAAAGTCACTACCTGCATCCCATCCAACCTCCCCCCCAGGCCACGAGGGCGCGTAGGTTCCTCGTGTTTGCCTGCTCCAGGCCACCAGGAGCAGCTCGTTTTTGTTTAGGCGCCTCAAAAGTCACTGCCTGCATCCCATCCAACCTCCCCCCCAGGCCACGAGGGCGCGCAGGTTCCTCGTATTCGCCTGCTCCAGGCCACCAGGAGCAGCTCTTTTCTGTTTAGGCGCCTCAAAAGTCACTGCCTGCATCCCATCCAACCTCCCCCACAGGCCACGAAGGCGCGCAGGTTCCTCGTATTCGCCTGCTCCAGGCCACCAGGAGCAGCTCTTTTTTGTTTAGGCGCCTCAAAAGTCACTGCCTACATCCCATCCAACCTCCCCCCCAGGCCACGAGGGCGCGCAGGTTCCTCGTATTCGCCTGCTCCAGGCCACCAGGAGCAGCTCTTTTTTGTTTAGGCGCCTCAAAAGTCACTGCCTGCATCCCATCCAACCTCCCCCCCAGGCCACGAGGGCGCGCAGGTTCCTCGTATTCGCCTGCTCCAGGCCACCAGGAGCAGCTCTTTTTTGTTTAGGCGCCTCAAAAGTCACTGCCTGCATCCCATCCAACCTCCCCCACAGGCCACGAAGGCGCGCAGGTTCCTCGTATTCGCCTGCTCCAGGCCACCAGGAGCAGCTCTTTTTTGTTTAGGCGCCTCAAAAGTCACTGCCTGCATCCCATCCAACCTCCCCCACAGGCCACGAAGGCGCGCAGGTTCCTCGTATTCGCCTGCTCCAGGCCACCAGGAGCAGCTCTTTTTTGTTTAGGCGCCTCAAAAGTCACTGCCTACATCCCATCCAACCTCCCCCCCAGGCCACGAGGGCGCGCAGGTTCCTCGTATTCGCCTGCTCCAGGCCACCAGGAGCAGCTCTTTTTTGTTTAGGCGCCTCAAAAGTCACTGCCTGCATCCCATCCAACCTCCCCCCCAGGCCACGAGGGCGCGCAGGTTCCTCGTATTCGCCTGCTCCAGGCCACCAGGAGTAGCTCTTTTTTGTTTAGGCGCCTCAAAAGTCACTGCCTGCATCCCATCCAACCTCCCCCACAGGCCACGAAGGCGCGCAGGTTCCTCGTATTCGCCTGCTCCAGGCCACCAGGAGCAGCTCTTTTTGTTTAGGCACCTCAAAAGTCACTGCCTGCATCCCATCCAACCTCCCCCCCAGGCCACGAGGGCGCGCAAGTTCCTCGTATTCGCCTGCTCCAGGCCACCAGGAGCAGCTCTTTTTTTTTTAGGCGCCTCAAAAGTCACTGCCTGCATCCCATCCAACCTCCCCCCCAGGCCACGAGGGGGAGCAGGTTCCTCGTGTTTGCCTGCTCCAGGCCACCAGGAGCAGCTCTTTTCTGTTTAGGCGCCTCAAAAGTCACTACCTGCATCCCATCCAACCTCCCCCCCAGGCCACGAGGGCGCGCAGGTTCCTCGTATTTGCCTGCTCCAGGCCACCAAGAGCAGCTCGTTTTTGTTTAGGCGCCTCAAAAGTCACTGCCTGCATCCCATCCAACCTCCCCCCCAGGCCACGAGGGCGCGCAGGTTCCTCGTATTCGCCTGCTCCAGGCCACCATGAGCAGCTCTTTTTTGTTTAGGTGCCTCAAAAGTCACTGCCTGCATCCCATCCAACCTCCCCCACCGGCCACGAGGGCGCGCAGGTTCCTCGTATTCGCCTGCTCCAGGCCACCAGGAGCAGCTCTTTTTTGTTTAGGCGCCTCAAAAGTCACTGCCTGCATCCCATCCAACCTCCCCCCCAGGCCACGAGGGCGCGCAGGTTCCTCGTATTCGCCTGCTCCAGGCCACCAGGAGCAGCTCTTTTTTGTTTAGGCGCCTCAAAAGTCACTGCCTGCATCCCATCCAACCTCCCCCACAGGCCACGAAGGCGCGCAGGTTCCTCGTATTCGCCTGCTCCAGGCCACCAGGAGCAGCTCTTTTTTGTTTAGGCGCCTCAAAAGTCACTGCCTTCATCCCATCCAACCTCCCCCCCAGGCCACGAGGGCGCGCAGGTTCCTCGTATTCGCCTGCTCCAGGCCACCAGGAGCAGCTCTTTTTTGTTTAGGCGCCTCAAAAGTCACTGCCTGCATCCCATCCAACCTCCCCCCCAGGCCACGAGGGCGCGCATGTTCCTCGTATTCGCCTGCTCCAGGCCACCAGGAGCAGCTCTTTTTTGTTTAGGCGCCTCAAAAGTCACTGCCTGCATCCCATCCAACCTCCCCCCCAGGCCACGAGAGCGCGCAGGTTCCTCGTGTTTGCCTGCTCCAGGCCACCAGGAGCAGCTCTTTTTTGTTTAGGCGCCTCAAAAGTCACTGCCTGCATCCCATCCAACCTCCCCCACAGGCCACGAAGGCGCGCAGGTTCCTCGTATTCGCCTGCTCCAGGCCACCAGGAGCAGCTCTTTTTTGTTTAGGCACCTCAAAAGTCACTGCCTGCATCCCATCCAACCTCCCCCCCAGGCCACGAGGGCGCGCAGGTTCCTCGTATTCGCCTGCTCCAGGCCACCAGGAGCAGCTCTTTTCTGTTTAGGCGCCTCAAAAGTCACTGCCTGCATCCCATCCAACCTCCCCCACAGGCCACGAAGGCGCGCAGGTTCCTCGTATTCGCCTGCTCCAGGCCACCAGGAGCAGCTCTTTTTTGTTTAGGCGCCTCAAAAGTCACTGCCTACATCCCATCCAACCTCCCCCCCAGGCCACGAGGGCGCGCAGGTTCCTCGTATTCGCCTGCTCCAGGCCACCAGGAGCAGCTCTTTTTTGTTTAGGCGCCTCAAAAGTCACTGCCTGCATCCCATCCAACCTCCCCCCCAGGCCACGAGGGCGCGCAGGTTCCTCGTATTCGCCTGCTCCAGGCCACCAGGAGCAGCTCTTTTTTGTTTAGGCGCCTCAAAAGTCACTGCCTGCATCCCATCCAACCTCCCCCACAGGCCACGAAGGCGCGCAGGTTCCTCGTATTCGCCTGCTCCAGGCCACCAGGAGCAGCTCTTTTTTGTTTAGGCGCCTCAAAAGTCACTGCCTGCATCCCATCCAACCTCCCCCACAGGCCACGAAGGCGCGCAGGTTCCTCGTATTCGCCTGCTCCAGGCCACCAGGAGCAGCTCTTTTTTGTTTAGGCGCCTCAAAAGTCACTGCCTACATCCCATCCAACCTCCCCCCCAGGCCACGAGGGCGCGCAGGTTCCTCGTATTCGCCTGCTCCAGGCCACCAGGAGCAGCTCTTTTTTGTTTAGGCGCCTCAAAAGTCACTGCCTGCATCCCATCCAACCTCCCCCCCAGGCCACGAGGGCGCGCAGGTTCCTCGTATTCGCCTGCTCCAGGCCACCAGGAGTAGCTCTTTTTTGTTTAGGCGCCTCAAAAGTCACTGCCTGCATCCCATCCAACCTCCCCCACAGGCCACGAAGGCGCGCAGGTTCCTCGTATTCGCCTGCTCCAGGCCACCAGGAGCAGCTCTTTTTGTTTAGGCACCTCAAAAGTCACTGCCTGCATCCCATCCAACCTCCCCCCCAGGCCACGAGGGCGCGCAAGTTCCTCGTATTCGCCTGCTCCAGGCCACCAGGAGCAGCTCTTTTTTTTTTAGGCGCCTCAAAAGTCACTGCCTGCATCCCATCCAACCTCCCCCCCAGGCCACGAGGGGGAGCAGGTTCCTCGTGTTTGCCTGCTCCAGGCCACCAGGAGCAGCTCTTTTCTGTTTAGGCGCCTCAAAAGTCACTACCTGCATCCCATCCAACCTCCCCCCCAGGCCACGAGGGCGCGCAGGTTCCTCGTATTTGCCTGCTCCAGGCCACCAAGAGCAGCTCGTTTTTGTTTAGGCGCCTCAAAAGTCACTGCCTGCATCCCATCCAACCTCCCCCCCAGGCCACGAGGGCGCGCAGGTTCCTCGTATTCGCCTGCTCCAGGCCACCATGAGCAGCTCTTTTTTGTTTAGGTGCCTCAAAAGTCACTGCCTGCATCCCATCCAACCTCCCCCACCGGCCACGAGGGCGCGCAGGTTCCTCGTATTCGCCTGCTCCAGGCCACCAGGAGCAGCTCTTTTTTGTTTAGGCGCCTCAAAAGTCACTGCCTGCATCCCATCCAACCTCCCCCCCAGGCCACGAGGGCGCGCAGGTTCCTCGTATTCGCCTGCTCCAGGCCACCAGGAGCAGCTCTTTTTTGTTTAGGCGCCTCAAAAGTCACTGCCTGCATCCCATCCAACCTCCCCCACAGGCCACGAAGGCGCGCAGGTTCCTCGTATTCGCCTGCTCCAGGCCACCAGGAGCAGCTCTTTTTTGTTTAGGCGCCTCAAAAGTCACTGCCTTCATCCCATCCAACCTCCCCCCCAGGCCACGAGGGCGCGCAGGTTCCTCGTATTCGCCTGCTCCAGGCCACCAGGAGCAGCTCTTTTTTGTTTAGGCGCCTCAAAAGTCACTGCCTGCATCCCATCCAACCTCCCCCCCAGGCCACGAGGGCGCGCATGTTCCTCGTATTCGCCTGCTCCAGGCCACCAGGAGCAGCTCTTTTTTGTTTAGGCGCCTCAAAAGTCACTGCCTGCATCCCATCCAACCTCCCCCCCAGGCCACGAGAGCGCGCAGGTTCCTCGTGTTTGCCTGCTCCAGGCCACCAGGAGCAGCTCTTTTTTGTTTAGGCGCCTCAAAAGTCACTGCCTGCATCCCATCCAACCTCCCCCACAGGCCACGAAGGCGCGCAGGTTCCTCGTATTCGCCTGCTCCAGGCCACCAGGAGCAGCTCTTTTTTGTTTAGGCACCTCAAAAGTCACTGCCTGCATCCCATCCAACCTCCCCCCCAGGCCACGAGGGCGCGCAAGTTCCTCGTATTCGCCTGCTCCAGGCCACCAGGAGCAGCTCTTTTTTTTTTAGGCGCCTCAAAAGTCACTGCCTGCATCCCATCCAACCTCCCCCCCAGGCCACGAGGGCGCGCAGGTTCCTCGTATTCGCCTGCTCCAGGCCACCAGGAGCAGCTCTTTTCTGTTTAGGCGCCTCAAAAGTCACTGCCTGCATCCCATCCAACCTCCCCCACAGGCCACGAAGGCGCGCAGGTTCCTCGTATTCGCCTGCTCCAGGCCACCAGGAGCAGCTCTTTTTTGTTTAGGCGCCTCAAAAGTCACTGCCTACATCCCATCCAACCTCCCCCCCAGGCCACGAGGGCGCGCAGGTTCCTCGTATTCGCCTGCTCCAGGCCACCAGGAGCAGCTCTTTTTTGTTTAGGCGCCTCAAAAGTCACTGCCTGCATCCCATCCAACCTCCCCCCCAGGCCACGAGGGCGCGCAGGTTCCTCGTATTCGCCTGCTCCAGGCCACCAGGAGCAGCTCTTTTTTGTTTAGGCGCCTCAAAAGTCACTGCCTGCATCCCATCCAACCTCCCCCACAGGCCACGAAGGCGCGCAGGTTCCTCGTATTCGCCTGCTCCAGGCCACCAGGAGCAGCTCTTTTTTGTTTAGGCGCCTCAAAAGTCACTGCCTGCATCCCATCCAACCTCCCCCACAGGCCACGAAGGCGCGCAGGTTCCTCGTATTCGCCTGCTCCAGGCCACCAGGAGCAGCTCTTTTTTGTTTAGGCGCCTCAAAAGTCACTGCCTACATCCCATCCAACCTCCCCCCCAGGCCACGAGGGCGCGCAGGTTCCTCGTATTCGCCTGCTCCAGGCCACCAGGAGCAGCTCTTTTTTGTTTAGGCGCCTCAAAAGTCACTGCCTGCATCCCATCCAACCTCCCCCCCAGGCCACGAGGGCGCGCAGGTTCCTCGTATTCGCCTGCTCCAGGCCACCAGGAGTAGCTCTTTTTTGTTTAGGCGCCTCAAAAGTCACTGCCTGCATCCCATCCAACCTCCCCCACAGGCCACGAAGGCGCGCAGGTTCCTCGTATTCGCCTGCTCCAGGCCACCAGGAGCAGCTCTTTTTTGTTTAGGCACCTCAAAAGTCACTGCCTGCATCCCATCCAACCTCCCCCCCAGGCCACGAGGGCGCGCAAGTTCCTCGTATTCGCCTGCTCCAGGCCACCAGGAGCAGCTCTTTTTTTTTTAGGCGCCTCAAAAGTCACTGCCTGCATCCCATCCAACCTCCCCCCCAGGCCACGAGGGGGAGCAGGTTCCTCGTGTTTGCCTGCTCCAGGCCACCAGGAGCAGCTCTTTTCTGTTTAGGCGCCTCAAAAGTCACTACCTGCATCCCATCCAACCTCCCCCCCAGGCCACGAGGGCGCGCAGGTTCCTCGTATTTGCCTGCTCCAGGCCACCAAGAGCAGCTCGTTTTTGTTTAGGCGCCTCAAAAGTCACTGCCTGCATCCCATCCAACCTCCCCCCCAGGCCACGAGGGCGCGCAGGTTCCTCGTATTCGCCTGCTCCAGGCCACCATGAGCAGCTCTTTTTTGTTTAGGTGCCTCAAAAGTCACTGCCTGCATCCCATCCAACCTCCCCCACCGGCCACGAGGGCGCGCAGGTTCCTCGTATTCGCCTGCTCCAGGCCACCAGGAGCAGCTCTTTTTTGTTTAGGCGCCTCAAAAGTCACTGCCTGCATCCCATCCAACCTCCCCCACAGGCCACGAAGGCGCGCAGGTTCCTCGTATTCGCCTGCTCCAGGCCACCAGGAGCAGCTCTTTTTTGTTTAGGCGCCTCAAAAGTCACTGCCTTCATCCCATCCAACCTCCCCCCCAGGCCACGAGGGCGCGCAGGTTCCTCGTATTCGCCTGCTCCAGGCCACCAGGAGCAGCTCTTTTTTGTTTAGGCGCCTCAAAAGTCACTGCCTGCATCCCATCCAACCTCCCCCCCAGGCCACGAGGGCGCGCAAGTTCCTCGTATTCGCCTGCTCCAGGCCACCAGGAGCAGCTCTTTTTTGTTTAGGCGCCTCAAAAGTCACTGCCTGCATCCCATCCAACCTCCCCCCCAGGCCACGAGAGCGCGCAGGTTCCTCGTGTTTGCCTGCTCCAGGCCACCAGGAGCAGCTCTTTTTTGTTTAGGCGCCTCAAAAGTCACTGCCTGCATCCCATCCAACCTCCCCCACAGGCCACGAAGGCGCGCAGGTTCCTCGTATTCGCCTGCTCCAGGCCACCAGGAGCAGCTCTTTTTTGTTTAGGCACCTCAAAAGTCACTGCCTGCATCCCATCCAACCTCCCCCCCAGGCCACGAGGGCGCGCAAGTTCCTCGTATTCGCCTGCTCCAGGCCACCAGGAGCAGCTCTTTTTTTTTTAGGCGCCTCAAAAGTCACTGCCTGCATCCCATCCAACCTCCCCCCCAGGCCACGAGGGGGAGCAGGTTCCTCGTGTTTGCCTGCTCCAGGCCACCAGGAGCAGCTCTTTTCTGTTTAGGCGCCTCAAAAGTCACTACCTGCATCCCATCCAACCTCCCCCCCAGGCCACGAGGGCGCGCAGGTTCCTCGTATTTGCCTGCTCCAGGCCACCAAGAGCAGCTCGTTTTTGTTTAGGCGCCTCAAAAGTCACTGCCTGCATCCCATCCAACCTCCCCCCCAGGCCACGAGGGCGCGCAGGTTCCTCGTATTCGCCTGCTCCAGGCCACCATGAGCAGCTCTTTTTTGTTTAGGTGCCTCAAAAGTCACTGCCTGCATCCCATCCAACCTCCCCCACCGGCCACGAGGGCGCGCAGGTTCCTCGTATTCGCCTGCTCCAGGCCACCAGGAGCAGCTCTTTTTTGTTTAGGCGCCTCAAAAGTCACTGCCTGCATCCCATCCAACCTCCCCCCCAGGCCACGAGGGCGCGCAGGTTCCTCGTATTCGCCTGCTCCAGGCCACCAGGAGCAGCTCTTTTTTGTTTAGGCGCCTCAAAAGTCACTGCCTGCATCCCATCCAACCTCCCCCCCAGGCCACGAGGGCGCGCAAGTTCCTCGTATTCGCCTGCTCCAGGCCACCAGGAGCAGCTCTTTTTTGTTTAGGCGCCTCAAAAGTCACTGCCTGCATCCCATCCAACCTCCCCCCCAGGCCACGAGAGCGCGCAGGTTCCTCGTGTTCGCCTGCTCCAGGCCACCAGGAGCAGCTCTTTTTTGTTTAGGCGCCTCAAAAGTCACTGCCTGCATCCCATCCAACCTCCCCCCCAGGCCACGAGGGCGCGCAAGTTCCTCGTATTCGCCTGCTCCAGGCCACCAGGAGCAGCTCTTTTTTTTTTAGGCGCCTCAAAAGTCACTGCCTGCATCCCATCCAACCTCCCCCCCAGGCCACGAGGGGGAGCAGGTTCCTCGTGTTCGCCTACTCGGAAGAGCAGCTCTCCAACACGCGCTCTCACCTCGTCGAGGCCGCCCGCTTCGCCCATGCCACCAACCGCACGCTCGTGCTGTGCCACTCCTTTGCTGCCCAAGGTGCCACTCCCTTGCTTCCCGAGTGCCATTCTGCACATCCCTCTTCACATCCCAACCCTAAACCCTCTCTCCCGCCGTCTCTCCCGCCCTCTCTTCCCCTTCTCTCCTGCCCTCTCTCCCCTCTCTCTCCCGCCCTCTCTCCCCCCTGCCCTCTCTCCCGCCCTGTATCCCGCCCTCTCTCCCGCCCTCTCTCCCCCTTGCCCTCTCTCCCGCCCTCTATCCCGCCCTCTCTCCCGCCCTCTCCCCCGCCCTCTCTCCCGCCCTCTCTCCCGCCCTCTCTCCCCCCTGCCCTCTCTCCCGCCCTGTATCCCGCCCTCTCTCCCGCCCTCTCTCCCGCCCTCTCTCCCGCCCTCTCTCCCGCCCTCTCTCCCGCCCTCTCTCCCGCCCTCTCTCGCGCCCGCTCTCTCGCCCTCTCTCCCGCCCTCTCTCCCGCCCGCTCTCCCGCCCTCTCTCCCGCTATCTCTCCCGCCCTCTCTCCCGCCCTCTCTCCCGCCCTCTCTCCCGCCCGCTCTCCCGCTCTCTCCCCCCTCCCCAATCATGGCAGGGCAGTCGCAGCCGCCTCTCACTCGCGCGTGCCCTGCCCCTCTGCGACTACTTCGATCTCTCTCGCCTCGACGCCCACTGGATCTCGCCAGACCTCTTCCTGCTGCTCGCTAGAGCCGCTCTCACCCCGCCCTTTGCTGCTGCCGCGGCAGTTAAAGCCAGCCCTTTAGTGGCGTTCGTTCATGTGCAGACCTCCCGTGCATGGCGGTCCACGTTCTCTCAAGGCAAGTCGCAGAAATGAGGGTGTTTTTGAGACGTCTCAAAAAGCCAGCCCTTCAGTGGCGTTCGTACATGTGCAGACCTCCCATGCATGGCGGATGTCCTTCACTCAAGGCAAGTCGCATAATTCTTTTAGGCACCTCAAAAGGCAATTTTTGGGCCGCCTAAAATAACCCCTTTGTACATCTGCAGACCTCCCATGTATGGCGGATGACCTTCTCTCAAGGCAAGTCGCAGAAGCCAAAGCATGTTCCGAGTTCCTTCTGCACGTGTAGCAAGTACTAAACGCCATCTCTAAATGTGTGACGTTGCAAATTTCTCTTAAAAGACTCTATTGCACCTTGGTGTGCAGGGCCTCTGGCGGAGATGCTGAGCGAGCTGATGGTGTATGGCATGGGCCGCGCACCCTCGAGACGCAACACTGTTGATGTCACCCTGCCCGCCAACAGCAGTGCAGTGCTCCTGCAGTTGCATCAGTGGTGCGTCATTCCATACTCACTGCCTTCTATCTGTCCTCTTTCTGATATGAAGACTGATGAGTGCATGGCCCGTGCAAGCATCCTATGAATCTGTCGTACCATGGGGGTTTGTCTCTGTGCATCTCATGGCATATCTGCTTCTATCATGGGTGGAAACTCATTCTCTGTTGGAAGCTAAACGCCTATGACTTAGAACTTCTACTCTCAGAGTCTCCTGTAAAGCAAGCCAAGCTGGGTGGTTTGTTTAATTCTCCCATACTGCACCCCATCCCGCACACCATAGCATTCCACATCGTGCCACTGATCCAGCACCCCTCTGTCAGCAAACGATTTGCCTTCCCTTCTGCCCACTTCTGCATCTTCTCTGCGTTTCACGGCTGCATGAATGCAGGCAGAACAGAGACGTGCTGGTGTGGGTGAAGACCACATACGACCGAGTGGCCTTCCACCGCCCCACAGACGACACCTCATTCCAGATGCTTCCATACAGCCAGGCATGGCACACCATGGCGCATCGAGCCATGGCCCGCCTGCCCCCCCGGTACATTGCGGTGCACTACCGCTCCGAGTTCATCGCCTTCCACCTCGTGAGTTCATCGCCTTCCACCTCGTGACTTCATCGCCTTCCACCTCGTGACTTCATCGCCTTCCACCTCGTGACTTCATCGCCTTCCGCCTCGTGACTTCATCGCCTTCCGCCTCGTGAGTTCATCGCCTTCCGCCTCGTGAGTTCATCGCCTTCCGCCTCGTGAGTTCATCGCCTTCCGCCTCGTGAGTTCATCGCCTTCCGCCTCGTGAGTTCATCGCCTTCCGCCTCGTGAGTTCATCGCCTTCCGCCTCGTGAGTTCATCGCCTTCCGCCTCGTGAGTTCATCGCCTTCCGCCTCGTGAGTTCATCGCCTTCCGCCTCGTGAGTTCATCGCCTTCCGCCTCGTGAGTTCATCGCCTTCCGCCTCGTGAGTTCATCGCCTTCCGCCTCGTGGGTTCATCGCCTTCCGCCTCGTGAGTTCATCGCCTTCCGCCTCGTGGGTTCATCGCCTTCCGCCTCGTGGGTTCATCGCCTTCCGCCTCGTGAGTTCATCGCCTTCCGCCTCGTGAGTTCATCGCCTTCCGCCTCGTGAGTTCATCGCCTTCCGCCTCGTGAGTTCATCGCCTTCCGCCTCGTGAGTTCATCGCCTTCCGCCTCGTGAGTTCATCGCCTTCCGCCTCGTGAGTTCATCGCCTTCCGCCTCGTGAGTTCATCGCCTTCCGCCTCGTGAGTTCATCGCCTTCCGCCTCGTGAGTTCATCGCCTTCCGCCTCGTGAGTTCATCGCCTTCCGCCTCGTGAGTTCATTTGAGGCAAAATCGTCCCCTTCAAATTTTCAGGGTTTAGGGTTTACGAAGGAGAATTGTCTTGGTAAACCCTTTAGGGTGTTTTTGATGGTCGAAATGGGTTAGGGGGGGTCGACATGACGCGAAATTGACAGTCGCGTCGAAATCGTTAAGAGTCAATTTCGCGCTGGGGCAATGTTTTTTTTCCGGTCAGCCCGAAAAAAAAATACGGGGTGCGTCCTGCGTCTCTGCGTCTGGACGCTGTGTCCAGACGCAGGACGCAGCAGGACGCGTGCGTCTTTCTCCGCATAGATCCCAATTCTCAAGCACTTCCTCTCCCTCTCTTGCCATCTACTCTCTCTTCCACCCTCTATGCTGCCCGCATTTTCTATTCTCTCCCACGCTCTCCCATGCTCTCCCTTCTGTACATACATGCATCGTGGCTATACTGGACAAGCTGATGTGCGCGCATGCCCACGTGTTCATTGAGGTGTATTTTGAGGCGCCTCAAAATACACCTCATTTTATGTTCTCTCCCGCGCTCTCCCTCCCGTTCATGCAGGCATCGTGGCCATATTGGACAAGCTGCTGTGCGCGCATGCCCACATGTTCCTGGCTGGATCCAGCACATGTGGGGGAAGCCGCGGCTTTGAGCAGGACATTACGCAACACAGGAGTCAATTCAACAAGAACCTCCCGCATAGATGGGTCTCACGGACAGACAAGCTTCTACAGCAGTCAAACGGCAGCTCTGCAGGTGTAGGGTAAGGAGATATGAGTACTATAGACCATAGCCTTTGTATACTTGGTTGGGAGTCTGTAATGGTACTTCAGTCCTTCCTATCCTCAGCCACCCGTCCAACATGACACGACCGCCAACCGAACCAAACATCATACCTGTAAAAATAATGAGTCGTTGAATACGCGACCCACGTGGACCATGACACATCGAGTTCCTGATTCGCTAGAGAGACCGAACGCCCACCAAGGAAAGCTGGGTCCTACTGGACAAAAATAAAAACCGCTTCGTCCTCTCCGAGTATCTGCGCAGCTGGAACTTCCGTAACATACACACGATTCTATAAGGGGCCTCCCTTGGGGAGTGGGGTAGTGTAAGGTAACAATTTCTCCTTGGAAATCAAGTAGCACCAACAACATATGCCTTACTGTGTACTTCTGTTAGCGGGTATGTTTCTAGGTTCTCTCATCAGCTGGTTCGGCCCTACTTTCGTCCCGAACCACTTCCGGTCGCCACCGCACCTCTCGCCAACTTTCCGAGCCTCGTAACCTCGTTTACTTTGCCCCCCGACATCCTCGCTTAGCTCAACTTTAGCCCATTCTAACGTCTTTTCAGATGTTCTACGTTCATTCTGTAGTTTTTTTTTTTCGGAGTGCAATTTAGTTCATTAGTGATACCTTATGGCACAGTAGGCCAAAACGACTTTAATATTCTCGCCCCGCTAACCTTTCTCGATCCCACCTCGCGCCCGCTCCCATCGCTCGTCTACCGTCGCGCTAACACGCTTGACGCGTTAGTCTCTACCGCGCTATGTTTCCCGTCACTGGATCCCTCTCGCCTCTTGATACCTCTCATTGCTCGATGCCAGTCGCCACATCCCTCTCATCTCCCCGTCCCTCCGTCTCCCCTCCGACACCGCATCCCTTCCGTCGACACCACCCTCTAGTCCCTCCCTCTCTCCCGTCGTTCGATCCCTCCCTCAGTTATCTCTCCCGTCTCCCTGCTCCTCACCTACCTCCCTCCTTTGATGCAGATACCACCTCCCCCACTAGTACCTTCTTCCTGCCATTCACCTACCTAATTTTCCTTTCCGGTCGCCCAACTTTCCCCTACCCGCGGCCCTCGCTTCCCTCCCATCGCCCCCTGCGTCGCCCTCGCTTCTCATCTCATCGCCTTCCCCGTCGCCCTCACTTCGTCTGCCTGTCTTCCGTGCTTCCTCTGCCCGTCTTCCTTGCTTCTCCTGCCCGTCGCCCTGATTTTCCCTGTCCGTCGCTCTCGCTTCCCGCCCCATCGCCTTACTCGTCGCCCTCGCTTTCCGTCCCCGTCGCCCACGTTTCCCCTCACATAGCCACATACCTCCATACACTTTACCACACGTGCCTTTGCCATCAACTCGCGCACACACCCGCCCTACTTCCCCCCACCTACCGCCCTCCATCCTTCCGAATCCGGTCTTCCACTCTACCATCTCCCTTTTTCCTTCCTTCAAACTGTCCTTTGCTTCAATGCTGAGATTGGTACAGGGAAATCTGTCAAACGAAGGCAATGGTGGCTAACATGCAGATTCACCTTCAGATTCACCTGCAGATTCACCTTCCTTCCCTCGCTCGCTCTCTTCCTCTCTTCCTCTCCCCCTCTCTCCCTTTCTTCCTCTCTCCCTCGCTCACACTCGTCAATCCCTCTCTCCTTTCTTCCCGCACCCTCTCCCCTTCCTCCCCTAGCTACATTTCTATTCCTTCCCTCTAATCATCTCGCGTTCCTTCACTTTCTGCCCATCTCCTTCCCCCATTACGCCTTCCTCCATCCCCCGAGTTTTTCACCTCACCCCCTCTACTTACCTTCCTTCATCCCCCAATGTTTGCACCGCATCCCGCAATTTACCTTCTTCCAGGCCCGACTTACCCCTGCCTCTTCCCGCTTACCTCTCTTCATCTCCTGATTTACCCCCCCCCCCCCCCCCCCCCCCCACATTTCCCCCCACTAACCTCCCTCCACCCCTAGGCTAACCCCCCCCATACTCACCTCCCTCCATCCGCCGATTCACCCTCTCTGAGGGGAACTGCAGGGAGGGAAAGAGGAGCGGAAGCAGGGGCGGGAGGAGGCATGGGCAGGGGGGTGGGAGGACAAAGATTTTCCCCACATTTTCCCCCCACATTTTTCTCAAAGCCCGATGACATACCCTGTCTAAGGGGAACTTCAGGGAGGGAAAGAGGAGTGGAAAGGGGGGCGGGAGGAGGCATGGGCAGGGGGGTGGGTGGTCAAAGGTTTACCCCACACTTCCCCCCCCCATCCCCCCCACTCACCTCCCTCCATCCCCCGATTTACCCTCCCAAAGAGGAACTGCAGGGAGGGAAAGAGGAATGGAGGGAAGGCGGGAGGAGGCGTGGGCAGAGGGGTAGGAGGACAAAGAGAGGGAAGGAGAGGAGAGAGTATAGGGAGGGAAAGAGAAAGGGAGACGAGGAGGGAGAGGCATTTGAAGGGGGGTGGGTGGGCAAGGTCTATAGCGAGTACAGATGCTTCCCTGCCAGTCGCCCTCGCTTCCCCTGCCCGTCGCCCCTCCTCCCCCCACTCACCTCACATACTGCCTCCCAACCCCCCAATTACCCTTTTTGTCTCCCTACTTACTACTCTCCCTCCCCACACTAACTCACTTCTCGCCCCCCAGTTACCATCTTCCCTCCCCCCACACTTCCCTCACACTCTCTCTCCTCCTATCCCTCTTTGTCTACCTTCTCCTTTCCCTCTACCTTCTCTCCTTTGAACTTTTAACCCAACCCCTTATCTCCTACCCTCCGTTCATCCGACCCTCCCTTTCCCCCAGCCTCCCTCTCTTCCACAATCCGTATCTACCTGCCTCCATGTTTCCCACCCTCCCTTCTCACTGCCACCCCCCCTCTGCTTCCCAACTTTGACTACCTGAGATCGTGCTCCGTATTTCATATCTCCATATTTCTTATCTCTCGAACTTCCTATCTCCATTTTTCTCTCCCTCGCAGAAGTCATGGACTTACTTTACTGCCACATGTCACGCTCTGCCCTTGTGCACGGGAGTAGTGGGCCAGAGGAGGGGGCGAGAACAGGATGTGGAAAAGGGAGGAGAGGAGGAAAGGGGAGAAGTTTAGGGGAGGGTCTGACAACTGTAGAGATAGAGGTAGGAGAAAGGGGAAAGGGTAGAGGCTGACATGAAGTAAATAAATTCACCATCCTGGCCCAAAAGGAAAGTCTGACATGCGTGCTTTGGATCACAGCATATCTTGCGTAGTGTGTCGCCTCTTGCCTCTTTGAAACTGAGTGCATTTGTTCCCCATCATTATCATTAATAATTGCACCTAGGACACAAATTCCCTCCATCTCTCCGCCCTCACTGAGTAAACAAGCATCCCATAACCAACCTCTCATCTCACCATGCAAGGTCTACAGCTACCCCCTCTCCTTCCCCCGCAAAGACGTCAGCACTAACTTCCTTTTAACACACTGGCTCGCCGTGTTGCTCACAACCTCCTCAAGACTCTACGCAGCAATGGCATTCACCATAGCAATGGACGGGTTCCTCCAACCAGCAGGCACCGCATTGAACCCATACCCACCCTTGGCCAGCTTCACAATCATGAACTGCATGAACGCCTTGGCGATCTTCCCGCCAGTCACGCCAGTGAGCGACTTGCGGATGAACCCATACTCCATGGAAACCATCGCAGGGGTCTTCGCTCCGCCCTTCCAGATGAAATCCACGTTGCTCCACGACCCGTCGGCTGCGGGAGGCGCGCCCACGAGCGCCGCGCCGGGGACCCACGACGGCGGCGCGACGGCGACGCCGTTGGCGTTCTTGAGCGCGGCGATCACGCGCTTCGGGTTGTTGGGCTTGCGGCGGTTGTAGACGACGGAGCAGCCGCCGGTGAACGCGTAACCAATGGCGCCCTTGGTCTTGAGCACGGCGGCGCACACGGCGCTGGTCCCCTCCACCTTGGTGAGGCCGGCATACGTCATAGCCGTGCCGTCCGTGCCGTCGCCATAGCCCGAGACGGCCTTGGACCACATCTTCTTCACGATTGCCGTGGATCCGGACTTGTCGCTGCGTGCCACGCGGGTAATGGCGCCCGCGACCTTGCCTGTCGCGCCAGGCACGCCCGACCAGGCGGAGATAGCGCCGCTGTAGATCTGATACGTCTGGGTGGCCGTAAGCACGACGCCGGGCTTGGCGTTTACGAAGAAGCTGAAGGTGGAGACGCAGAGCGGCACGGTGATCTTGCCGCTGGCGACGACGCCGCCCTCTTGCGCCGCGGTCATGGGATCATCGGAGACGGCAATGAGGTAGGTTCCGCCGTTGAAGCCGGTGATTCCGGCGCCTGATCCCACCGAGTCGTATGCAACGACGTCCTGGGAGATTCCCGGCTTGGCCGCGTTCCATGCCTTGATGATCGCCCCTCCAGCCTGGAATGTGGCATATATCACGACGGAGGGACGTTTTTAGGATGTTTTCATGCGACTGGAAATAATGCTAATGTTGAGAGATAACATTTTCGTGTGAGGAAACTTACAGGTGCGAAGGTTGACGCGCCGCCCATAAATCCAGCGAGCGAATGTGACGCAAACGATGCAATAAGAAAAGCGACTGCGAGGGTTCCATAGTAGGTGTGAGCCATGATGGTGCGATTGGCAGTGGCAGGTGGGGCAATGACGGGAGGATTCGGGTTTGATTCCAATGTACACACAGGTTGTGAGAAATTTGGTGAATGATTCAATGCAATGCACTGAAGCAATTTATGCTTCAGAATTTGGAATTGCGCGCTTCGTGAGTTTGGCGGCTCCTGGTGCGGGGAGGGGAGGAGTTTCTGCGTGGCAAGGGTAACACGCTGCCTTGCGAAAACTGGCATTTCCAAGAGTCAGCAAGGGCCATGCCTGGATTGGTTGCGACGAATTACATGAGTTCGCGTAAAGCCGCCGTTTCTTACGGTGGACGGTACTTGCGTCAACGATTGGACTGCGAGAAAAACAAAATACATTTACATGCATCCGCGATGGGGTTTGTTATTTTTGTGTACTTTTCCAGCGTCGGCACTTCTTGGGCAGTTACAGAACTCTGGTGTACAGGCAGTTCCTGGTCGGTTGCTACCACTGTTATTGTGCGACTCGAATTGGAGGGAATTTTTTGACATGGAATCTTTTATTATTCTGCAGCATCTCCTTCAGAATCTACAGCACGCACACACCTCCCATGGTCGGCGCGGCCGAGACAACGTGACAAATGTCACATTCTACTGGACTTGATTGGAGCTACTTCCACTGTAATTCTCTTAGTATCATTAATATAGAAAAACATGATTCCTTAGTATGGTTGCATTATAACATGACAACCAGAATATTATCTCGTTGCCATGGAAGTTGTCAGCAGCTTCGCAGCTACCAGCTTGTATAATTTCCTGTATGAAAACACATCTGAAGCTGTCAATTGAAGCCTTACACTGAGCTCTATCTGGGGATGATTATAATGTTCGTCGTCATTTTTAGTTTCAGGCATTCGGTTGCGCTACACTTATTGGTGTTTCATGTCAAATTATGTTTCTATGTTGTAGGCTGTAGTGGGGTAGTCTCTACTGAGTACAACACTTTAGGGTTAGACATTGCCCTACTTGTACTCATCCATCATTTCTAGTAATTCATTCCTGCACATTATTTCTGACATGCTATTCAAAGTAGGTCCCTCCGTAGGACCGCTCCGTTAGGGCCGACCGTTAGTTTCGCACTGCCCGAACTGCCCTGCCCGTTCGTTCCTGCCCTGCCCGAACAGCGTCCCTCACGCTGCTTTGCCTTCGCTACCCCACGCGCTCTGCCCTGCCCTGCGCGCTGCCCGCTTGCTGCCCAGCGCGAGACCCGCACGCTGCCCTGCTAGCGCCCTCCTCTGCACGCGCGCCGCCCTGCCTTGCAGCCCGCGCGCCGCCCTGCTCTGCAGCCCGCGCGCCGTCCTGCCCTGCAGCCCGCGCGCCCCTGCCCTGCAGCCCGCGCGCCGTCCTGCCCTGCAGCCCGTGCGCCGTCCTGCCCTGCAGCCCGTGCGCCGCCCTGCCCTGCAGCCCGCGCGCCGCCCTGCCCCGCAGCCCACGCATCGCCCTGCCCTGCAGCCCGCGTGCCGCCCTGCCTTGCAGCCCGCGCGCCGCCCTGCGCTGCTGCCTGCGCGCTGCCTTAGCTGCCAGCACGCTGCTCTAGTTGCCCACGCACTGCCCTAGCCACTACACCGCCCGTCATGGCAACGCCACCGGTCCTAGCGGTTGACGACGACGGACGTCCGTACCGGTTAGAGTTCTGGCTTATGTGCCTGCATTTGCATCTCCGGCGTTACATCAGAGATGGCGTCCCCTACTCGAGCACACGTCGGGGTCACTTCTGGCCCCCACGACTCCTACTGAGCCTGCTGCTGAAGCTGACGAGGACGTGCAGAGGCAGTACCGGGCACACAGCCTTGCCTACTGACAGTGGACAGAGCGCGACGATGTCGCACAGCGTGCCGTCCGAGCTCTCCTGCCGGTCGACCAAAGGGACCACTTTCCACAGGTGACGTCGGCCCAGACTTTGTTCAACGCTGTTGTTAGACACTACTCCTCCCTCTCTCCTGCCACCCGGCCACTACAGCAGCGGTGTCAGTTGTTAGGGGAGGTGCAGCCGCTGGTCGAGGAGGAGAGTGTAGGTACCTGTACGTCTGCTCCAGCAGGTGGTGCCACCAGTGGAGGGGGTGGTTATATAGGTGGTCAGCAGCGGCAGCAGAGTCAGCCAGAGACCCCTTCGCCGCAGCAGCTTCGGGAGTGGTTTTCTCAGCGATGCGTCCCTGGTAGTGTAGAGGCTTCTAGTCTAGGTGCCTGTGAGCCTGGTAGCACTGTTGCAGCTCCTATGGAGGCTTTGCACACCTTCATGCTTGACTCAGGCGCAACTCGCCGCTTCTTCCGCGACTGCACCATAGTCACACCGCTCATCGCACCTGTCCCGGTCAGTCTGGCTGACCCCTCTGGGGCCCCAGTCGTAGCACGTGCCTCCACTGTTCTCCCGTGTCCGGCAGCCCCCTTAGGCTCCCTCACAGCTTTCCACCTTCCCTCGTTCTCTAAGAACTTGGTGAGTAACGCTCCAGGACCAGTTTGTCACTGTGACTACTCCTGGGGGTGAGCTTGTGGCAATCTGTACGGACTCACGCACTGGCGAACACCTCGCCACGTTCACTCGGAGCCCTGGGTCTGGCCTGTACACACTGACCACTGAGTCTGCACAGGTAGCTGCGTCGAGTCAGGTAGCTGCATCGCGTCAGTTAGCTGCGTCTTGTTCGTGTCGGCTACTCTCGCACCAGACTCTCCTCTGGCACCACCGTCTTGGTCACCCCTCCGTGCCGCACCTGCGTGGCATGCACTCGCGTCTCCTTGTCTCTGGCCTCCCCAGGTCCTTGCCCCCGCTCCCGCGCTCGCTTGCACCGCCGTGCCTTCCCTGCATCGAGGGGCAGCAGCACGCAGCTCCTCACTCCTCCTCGTTTCCGCCGACCACCGCTCCTCTGCAGACTCTCCACATGGACGTGTGGGGCCCAGCCCGCGTTCGTGGACAGGACGTGAAGCGCTACTTTCTGCTAGTTGTTGACGACTACACGCGCTACACCACGGTCTTCCCCTTGCGGAGCAAGGCATGTGCTCGCGGTGTTTTGATCGACTGGATCATCGCTGTTTGTCGCCAGCTGAGCGCACGGTTTCAGTAAAACGTCCAAATTCTGCGACTGCACTCTGACAGAGGCGGTGAGTTTTCCTCCTGCCTCCTTGAGGACTTTTGTCGTGCGGAGGGCATCGCCCAGTCGTTCACGCTTCCGGCCTCCCCTCACCAGAATGGGATTGCTGCGTCGCATTGGCTTGATCATGGAGGTTTCTCGCACCTCCATGATCCATGCCACTGCTCCCCATTTTCTGTGGCCGTTTGCGGTCCGATACGCCGCGCATCCGCTCAACCTCTGGCCCCATGTCTCTGTCCCAGAGACCTTGCCTACAATGCGTTGGACGGGGGAGGTTGGCGATGCGTCGGCGTTTCGGGTCTAGGGCGCTCTCTCCCTTGTCCGCGATACCACCGCGAGCAAGCTCTCTCCTCGCACTCTTTGATGCGTCTTCCTTGGCTTCCCCACCGACGCCCCGCCCTGGCTGGAGGTACTAGAGATGCTGGTGCTAGAGGTGCTAGAGCTGGAGGTACTGGAGCTGCTGGTGCTGGAGGTGCTAGAGCTGGAGGTGCTGGAGGTACTGGAGCTGCTGGTGCTGGAGGTACTGGAGCTGCTGGAGCTGGAGGTACTGGAGGTGCTAGAGGTGCTGGAGCTGGAGGTACTGGAGGTGCTGGAGCTGGTGGTACTGGAGGTGCTGGAGCTGGAGGTGCCGGAGGTGCTGGAGCTGCTGGCGGTATGGGTACTGCGCCGAGCCGACCGTTTTTCTAATCGCAGCCGAAGTTGTCCCTGCCACCGCCTGACTCGGCACTTCGTCATGTTCTTAGTCTTCCGTCTTCCATTGGCCTTACTCCGCCTCGCCTGTGTCCTCCGCTTGACCAGTCACAGCCGCAGTTACTGCCTGGCTCTCCACTGCCTGCTCCTTCTCCCTTCCCTGCGCAGACAGGCTCCCTGGCAGACCGTCGTGAGCCTGAGTCTCGTCCTGCCTCCCCTGTTCGCACTGTCAGTCGTGCTCGTCGTCCTCGTCCTCCACCTGTCCTTGGCACACACATTATGGCACTTCGTCCTTCCTCTGTTCCACAGCGTGTTGCTCTGCCGTCTCCTCCGGCGTCCTCTCTTCCTGACGTTCTTGACCGTGGTCCGACCTTGCTCGTGCTGCTAGTCCTACTGTCACTCGTCTCCTCGCCACTATTGTCACTGACCCTTCCTTTGAGTCTACTGCTACGTCTGCCCTATTCACTGAGCTAGTCGACTTTGCTGCTACCCGTCGTCTCGACTACGTCGCGAGTCTTGTTGATGAGTCTGAGTCTGTCTGTCCTCCGTCCGTTGGGGGTGAGCTTGCCCTTGGCTATGTCGTCCTTGAGGACAGGCAGTATGAACTCGAGTGTCTCGCGACCGTTTTACCCCATTTTGCGTCCATGCTGCTTGGCCCTGAAAGAGAACCGGATGCACTAGACATCCCGACCCCGCGCACTCACGAAGAGGCGATCACGGGCGAGTATGTCAAACTATATTTCTATAGCTTGTGTAGTTCTAGTCTAGGTGTTCTCCCTTGTGTTATTTTTGTACTTGCACTAGGGTTAGGTTTTGCATATATCTTGTTTGTACTTTCTGTTTTTAG